GTTTTGGATAGGGAGGCTCTGCAGCAGAAATATATCCAGTACTAGAAACAAAGCATGACTAGAACAGGCACCAAACAAGATAACAAGACAAGACTAGAAGAGCCCAGAACCAGAGCAGGACAGAAAGCAGAACTCAGAACATGTACACAATACATGAGGGAAACATGAGGGACATGGAAAGGGCAGGACTGTACATGAACTGAGAATACAAGACAAATTAAAACAAGACAAGAGATACAAGGCAGAATGTAATAAACATTGGAGATTTAAACATACATAAATGGCCTACATGTATGCAGCCCACCACTGCGCCAAAGTACTCCAATTACGGTGGGTCCTAACTGCCTAGATATGCAACAATAAAACACACAGTACTTACCTGCAAAGAAAGGAGCAGAGGAAATGAGACAACTGCTTGCAGGAACAGACTGAAACAAAAAGGATTAATCGCAAAGGAATGGCTGTGACAACAAAAAACAAACATTTAAAGGAATACAGGAGACTGGGAATTCCAGGAACATAATAAAGGAATGAACCCAGAAAACCCAGCATAAAAAAAACCAGACATAGCATAAAAAAAACAGAAAAACCAAGAAAAGCTAAACAAGAATTGTTAAAGACAGAAGTGATGCGCTACAGGAACAGGGTGTGACAGGTGGCTGCACTTCTCTCCTCTCGTCCCACCACCTGTCCACTTGATCCAGTACCTTCCCATCTCATCAGAGCTCTCACCTCTTGTCTTGTACCATCCTTAACACACATCCTAAACTGCTCTCTTTCATCTCATGTTGTCCCTGCTCCCCTTCAACATGCTACTGTCGTACCCATCCTAAAAAAGCTATCCCTAGACCGGTCTTCCACTTCCAACTATCATCCCATATCCCTGCTTCCTTGTTCCTCAAAGCTTCTAGAAAGACTTGTCTTTACTCGTATGACTCACTTCCTAAATTCCAACTGTAGCGGTCTCTGGGTAACCCGACCAGTTACTTACACTAATTCCCTTCCTTCAGCTGGTCAGGAACCACTTAAACTGCAACAAGACCCATTTCCCCCCCCAGTAACTGGACGAGACCTAGTTCTTGAGGTACAACAACACTTTGACCATTAAACATCACCCCATGCAAGGGGTGTAGCACACAGCAAACAATGTCCCCTTCTAGGAGCCTCCCCTTCCCCGGAACTTAGCACGGGAAAAGGCCTTGTCCCTTTGTCTCCAAAAGCACACCACTCAAACACCAGGTTTCCCACATCCTGGGACAGGGGGTCTTCATCCCACAGGCCTCTGTACATGGGAGACCAAACGCAAGAAAAAGGGACAGTTACTTTATCTCCCAGGCACAGAGAGCCCGCCCACAGGAAAAGAGCTGGTCTCTTTGTCCCAGCGGGCACCGCAAAGCCCGCCAAACTCCCCAGTGCCCCAGAAGTGCCCACACCAATCTCAGAGACCCCCACAACGGTATCTGGCTCAAACAGCCTCCATTTGCAGGGTCCCTTTGTAAAACCAGGCAAGGGAAGAGTCTTCTTTCGGGATACAAATGCTCCCCTTGGTTGGCGTTCATCTATACGAATGGCAACCACCCAGGGAAGCACTCATTAATTACTTCCCTTGCAGTCTCACACTTATGGTGCGAGTGTTAACATTCTAATTGATTGGCGTGTGCATTCCAATGGGGCTCTGGGGTGGTCCTCTTTCGGGAACCAAGCGAGAAGGGAAGCAATTCATGAATGCTCCACTGGGATGGCGTTCGTCTATACGAAAAGGCGGCCACCCGGGGAGGACACGCGCCAAGGCTTCCTTTGCAGTTTTGGCACTATTTCATGGTACTAACGTTCAAACAAATGTTGTAATGAGCATTCTACATGGGCCATTGGGGTGGTCCCTGTTCGGTATGTGAACGGATATCCTTCATGGAAGCACTCCCAAATGGGGATCGGGCATAATATATGAAAGGATGGGGAGAACACACATTATACAGAAGGGCAATTCCCGAACAGGCAGCGGTCCCGCCACACCAACTCACTCCACAATCCTCTTCAATCTGGCTTTCACCCTCTCCACTCTACTGAGACTGCTCTTATTAAAGTTACAAATTACCTAATCACAGCCAAATCCAAAGGCCACTACTCCATACTAATTTTTCTTAACCTCTCTGCTGACTTTGACACTGTTGATCATGGCCTCCTTCTCCTAACCCTTCTGTCTCTGTGACACAGCACTCTCATGGTTCTCCTATCTCTCCCAACGCTCCTTTGGTGTCTTTTTTTTTTTTTTTCCCAACTGCACCTCCTCTCTTCATCCTGTCTCAATCGGAGTTCCTCAAGGTTGAGTTCTTGGTCCCCTTTTGTTTTGCTTTCATAGACACTGGGGCTGCTCTCTTCATCCAAGAGGCTTGAATCAGGAACTTGACCTCATCTCATTAATATAAAAATCTGTTTTTATATATTTACTATTTGATTAATTTATGTACTTAAATGTTTATTTTTTTTCTACTTTTTCAGAGATTTTTCAAATAAGGGTGTTGGTGTTTGATGATAGCCCTTCAGATGCACTGTTCCTACCGATACTATTCCTTGAGCATGTTTAACGCTTTTCTGGTGAAATAACTGTAAGATTATATTCTTTTAATTTAGTGAACGTCATCACATCACCTATGTATAAATAGACCCATATTATATAAATTGATTAAATTTTACTTGTAAATGGATTAATTGGAGATTATAAGGTTGTCCTTTAAAAAGTAATTTTGAAAACATATCTCTAATTGATATATATTGTTGACGCTTCTTGTGCACTTTAAATTGGATATGCACTTTTATGATTGACAATTTGCACTTTAAATGATGCACTTTATTTAAATTGATTCACTTTATTTGTACATAATTCACGTGATGCACTTTATCTTAACTCATGCACTTAAAAATTTGTGATCCCACTAGATTGTGGTTATAAATTGCACTTTGATTCAAAAGATAGCCTCAACTTAACTACTAATGTTTAGGTGATCTCTTTATTATTATATTTTATATATATATATATATATATATATATATATATATATATATATATATATATATATATATATATATATATATATATATATATATATATATAATATTTAAATTTTTTTTATATAATTTCACTCTTACTTTATGAATTTATTCTGTTTATTAAGTAAATTTATGGGTCTACTACAACCTTAATACTAGATAGCAATTTAGATAATATATTGCTATTGGTTATTGATTAATGATGTGCTTGATGAACATGCTTTTTTGAATTGGTATCGATATTTCAATTTTTGATATATTGTATTTATGGTGTATGTTTTATCTTTATTCTCAATATGCAGCCAAGTTATTATAATGCTAAACTTTAGTCATCTAATATAAAAAGATTATATGTGCTTTGTATTTGGTTTTCTGTTAAGTAGTCACAATGCTAAATTCTGGCCACTGTATACAAAATAAACTTATGTTGTGTGTCTTCATATTGAACACATAGCCAGATCGTGATAATGATAAATTCTAGCCATTTTATATAAATAGCCTCCTATATGTCTTGATCTTAATACAATTGAAACATCTCAATAATAAACAGTAGGAAGAAATGTGATGTATTATTAAGCATTTTGTCAAACAAAAAGCTTCTTCTATTACAGTTTTACTTTGTATTTCTATTTGACTCTCTTAAAGTAAAAAAATTAAATATGAAAATGATAATCATGCTTCACAATTGGGCGATCCACCAGAATGATAACCAGCTTGATTGCACAGTGTCAATAGGAATGTTTTGGTATGGTGGTGCATTTGAATGTTGAGAGATCAAAAATTGTTTCGGTGGAGAAACATCTAAAAAGGTAGAACATAACCTGCTTCAGCTAGGAAATGCCAACACACATTGTGAGGGCCTTAAAGAAACAAACAGTTTGTGATGCTCTGCACAGACACCTGAACTCTATACTACTGAACACTGGTTGAATTAATTTAAAATGCAAATTCCAAGCAACTCTAATCACTATGCACATGCCCTTCCTTAGTATTGCACTTTTAGCTGGATGAAAACAAATAAGCTATGATGCTCGGTCACAGAGCCCAAAAAAGCTAGCAAAACATCATGGAAATTGAAGTTCTAAAACACCTAGGCATGCACATTTTAAAGTGCCACTGTTCTATCATCTTGTGAAATTTATATCAGAAGGGTCAAAGCTCAAATAACACCATGGCAGGTCCCAACTCCATATTAACAAACATTGTTCCATCCTTTACATATTAATACTCAAACATTCAAAAACATTGCAATATTTTTAGATCAACATTGCGATCACAGATTCTAGACATACTTTGTAAATTGATGCTTTGCACAAACAGAAATGGTAATTCTATTTTAAAATGCTTTCCAAAGCCATTTGCACCTACATTCGCACCACTAGACACATTTTCCTTAGGAAAGCTTTTGTCACCCGTGTAGCAAATTTGCAGTACTGTACATTGGATATAGTTATCTGTTCACTTCAATGAATAGAAGGCGTTTTCAAGGACAGGTTGACTGTTGGAAGAGAAAATTAGATTACAAACTCAACGTTATCTTAACATTCTTGGGTTGTATTTTAAACAAATTGTTAAAGGTTTCAGAAAACAGTTAAATTACAATGAAAATGTGTAATAAGCAAGTAAGATCACAGATCATTCCATAAACTGCGAGCAAGACAGAAGTCATGTCCCCCACCTTCAAATTCAAAACATAGGAACACAAGAAAGAGGTAATTAAATATTGGGTGTCTTATCAGTTAACAGTAGTATTAAACAAAATTTCTTTGAGTTTCCATCCTGCGAAACTATTAAATGACAAACTCTGAACAATGCAATAATTACTTTTATTTCACAATTTAGGTTGCTTAGTCTATAACAAAGTAATATGAAAAGTTTAGAAATGTATAAAACAATTTCAAATTACTCTCTCCCTTCCCCCTAACCCCACCCACTACGCAGTTTGCTCATCGTCACAGAATAAGGGGTATGATGGATGTTCTAAATCTCGGATACTCCTTAAAGTCTTTCAGATATTTATGATGTTTTTCTCTTGCCCAAATAGTCAGCTGAAGGAAACGAATGAATGCGTATACTCCAGCTGTAAGAAAAAGAAATAAAAACACACAGAAGTGTGACGGTGCATTAAAAAAGAGATATGGCTAAAGTAGCACAATCCAATGTATGCGAAGCAAATTGTTTACCTGGTATACATTGAGTCATTATTGCAAAACTAATCAAGCTTCCCATCTACAAGATAAAATAAATGTTAGTATATGTAGCAAACCTTTGTATGGTAAAATAATAATTTACAAATCGCTTTCTAACCACATGCACCCAATGGGAAACCTCTGAAGGTGTCAGAGACTGCTACATTTGCAACATACACTGCAACACTTGCAAAAGGTCACCAAAGCACTGGAATAACTTATACCTTTGAGTAGGTTATAGTGCAAGAATGAATAAGATGATAATATGGGTGGTATGGCTGCCATCTGCTTATCCAACATCAGATAAATTATCCAATTTAATGAGTAAATTTGCTAGTGGAGGCTGAGCTATCTATTCACTAAACACCTGGTGATCAGGGGATTGTGGGATAATATCAGATGCTTTAAAATATTTAGAAATCGTGTTTTATATTCTTCAAACACTGCTGGGGTTCTTTACGATAAAATATGTAACAAACTACCAGTAAGATTTGAAAAATTTACTAAATTCATAAAAAAAATAAAAAAGTAAGTAGTGTGAGGCAGTTCACCACCCTCGATCACCTGGTTGAAGCACATCCTGTTAAATGAACACGATGAGAAAATGCTATAAAATATAAAAGGTGTCTGACATTTTCTTAAAATCATTGTATTTAATAACTTTCACCTTTTGTGATGGTTACACTTCCAATGTTACTTTGACAGAATAAAGTAATGGAACATTCTAAACTGGGGAGAAGTGTACAGTGGAGATTGTTTGAAAGACCTGTTTAGTTGTGGGTTCCACCAACCTCCATTATGATCTGTGACTATACTGTCTTATCCCGTTACCCTACACTCTGGGAAGCATTTTATCTAAACAGTTTTTCATTGTAGAATTAATAAAAGGGAAAACATCTTCTGCAACACCACCTAGTTAGTGACGGTCCTTTATTTAAAAAAAAAAAAGCAACATTTCAACCTGAAATGTATTTTTTAAGCCCAGGTACAGTCACAAAGCAAGTGGTGACGCAGAGCTTATTACTGTTATACGGGTCAAGATGGGAAAACAGACACTGCACCCATACATGCATTCTGCCTACCGTGGGGAGTGTTGACATGCATATTATTTGTATCTTGCATACCTCATATGTGTAGTTAGGGCAGGACACAAAGACATAAAGCCAGGTAAAAGGATTCCTAGTTGCTTGAGGGAATCTTTGGGCTTTTGGAACTTTGACATATTGAAAGAAAATAAAATATATTAAAGTTAACGTAAAGAAATAAGTAGATCTAGGACAAAATTATTTCCTCAGAGACAACAATTAACCTTCATATCCAAGTGTTCCGAAATCCACCAAAAGACAGCAATGTCACACCAAATGTATATATTTTCCTTAACACTTACATGTCACTTTGCTTTCATGTGCTGCATGCTTCCAGGACTGGCTCGTAAGCAAAAGATTAGTGGGAGTTCCTTTCCTGAGCTGTACCGGCTGTTTAATACCACCTGCTGCGATAACTGCCATTTCAAACTGTACCACCCACTAAATTTGGCCAGCACTGTGACCTGTATGTCTAGTTTTAATGTTTTAGTTTAGGAATTAATGGTAAAGGCAGCATTAAGACAATCACTGAAAGCGAACCCCTATACTACCTAAGCACTTACTATTAACGTCTACACTGCAATAACAGTTACACTAACAAACGTAAAAAAAAAAAAGACAGACAGACACAGACTGTTTGCCCACCATTACTAGGAGTCATTTTCGAGCAACAGCTGTTGACTTTTTTTTTTAATTATTATTATTCTTTATTTTTAAACACTTTATTTAAAGTACAACTAGCAGTGCAACAGGATATCAAGGTATTAGCTGCAACAAAGTACAATAAAAACATATCGCACACATGGCCTGCATTGTAACATTAACAGAAAATAAAGATACAACAGGAGAATAATTCAAAAAGGAAAACAAATGTATAGCTCTTTCCATTTGGGAGATATCAATACATAGTTTCCCATTTGAGGCTACTGGCCCTGGTTCCTGATAAGATGCCCATAGCTGCCATATTGCTTGTAAGGCTATTGCGATGCATGGTGTATCTACCTGCATCCACAACTGAGCTTTTGCTCTGCTAGCGGCTAGTGAGATTTTGTTTAGTAGTTTCTGTTCGAGGAATCAGTCTATCCAAGGGCTTAGACAGGGGAAGAGCACAACAGCAGCTACTGCCATTTTAATTCAACTTATTGCTGAATTGGATTCATAGCAGCAGCTGTATTACAGACCAATGATTGAGCTGAACTAAAATGGTGGCAGCTGAGGCTCAGCTTGCACTAATATTTTGTTTGGATAGTCTCAGCCAAAAAAAAAAAGATTCATGATGAATACATAATAAAATTGGCATACCACAATTGTGAATATGAACAAGCAAAAGCAGCATAGTACACATTCCATCTTGCAAAGCACTTTGACAAAAACACACCGCAAAATGCATCACTTCCTTCCCACAGCTTTTAATGATTTCAGGTAGCACTGAGAGAGGTTTGTGCCATTAGTGACCCAACTGAAAACACCTCCTCTTAACCCACACTACTACTACCCAATACTCATTGTAAGAGTTTGTTCGCTAAAAAGCAAATTGTAGTGAATGAAAAGCTGAATTGAAAAATGAAGTCCAAAATGGCAAATTTCCACTGAGCCATATTCAAACATTGGCTTTTTTTGTGATTTGGATTGTAATTAAAGATAGTTTCTATATAGAACACCCCCATAGTGTTTCTAAATGTGAATGACTAAAGGGACATTAACAAAAATTTAAAAAAAATATATATATATGTACCATCTGCTTTCATGCTGTTGAGTGCTACATGAACAGAGAAGTTGCCTGTTTCACATATCTGTAAGAAGAAAAGATAATGCAACATATGGTGAGAACACCAAAAGTACAATAAAAATAAAGAAATTAAAAAAATAATAATAAAAAATATATATATATATATCAATGTTAAACACAAATACACACACCAGGCAAGCCATAAGACTTGCTTTTCCCACAGAAATCTCACTTTAACAGTGCTCTCACTACTGCAATGGATTCTGGGTAGGCATGTGCAAATGAGCTCAACAAAGAACCACATTTTTGCCTCATAATTCCACTTTATACCTGGATTCCTGTTGATATCTCAACTCATCAGCATGTTGTGTTTCAAAGCTGTTGTATGCAGCAGACACATACTCCAAGTAATCCATGTACTGTATAAAGAAGAATTATGAAGCAAAAATATGGTTCTCTGTTGCAGAATCCCTTGCAGTAGTGAGAGCACTGTTAAAGTGAGATTTCTGTAGAAAATCAAGTCTTATGGCTTGCCTGGTGTGTGTATGTGTTTAACAATGCATTAACTAGCACTTATTTCACTACCACTACAACTACCACTTATTAGTGGATTATCTATAATATTCAGAAAGCAAGTGATTTTGTAAGTGGCCGGAGGCAGATCCAAACCGGTTGCAGAGCCACAAACCGTGTGATGAGTTTCCAGCCATAAAGAGACACTACCGTCACCTGCTCAATTCTCTGACATTTAGGAGGTAAATCACTTGTTTCTGTTCGTGCAGGAGAAATTCTAAATTAAACAGACTGTACAATAAAGTGTAAAGATTAGATTTCATATGAAGTGTGTATGAAGGCTGTGCAAGTCACATGCATGGAGGTGTGACTAGGGATGCACAAACAAATTAATTTCACTCCTAAATGACAGACAATTGAGCAGTGAGATTGCAGGGGATTGATCTATACACATAAAATGTGCAAGACACTATAGGGTCAGGAACACAAACATGTACAACTACTTGGCTGACATCAGAAGTAATGATCTCTGCCAATCACTTTTCTTTCCCATAGGAAAGCATTGGATTGGCTGAGATTGCTAGTTCTGATGATCTCAGCCAAGGAGGCGGGGTTAGGGCAGAACCAAATGTTGCCCTGGCCAGTCAGCATCTCCTTGTTGAGATGCACTGAATCAAAGAATCTCTATAAGGAAGTTTCAGTGTCCCCATGCAGAGTGTGGAGACTGAACGTCAACCTGGGAAGCACCTCTAGTGGCCATCTGAGGAGTGGCCACTAGAGGTGTTCCTAGGCTGCAATGTAAACACTGCCTTTTCTCGCAAAAGACAATATTTACATCAAAAAGCCTGCAGGGACTGATTATACTCACCAGAACAAGTACAGTAAACTGCAGATCTGGTGACTCTAGTGTCCCTTTGAGCTAAGGTTGTTCTGAAAGGTATAGTGTCCCTTTAAAAGTAGTAAAGCTACATGCGAGCTGTAGTTTCTACACCCTCTAGTTTAAGATGTAAAATATCTCATGGAATAGAAATCTAATGTATCAAGGCTAACCGTTATATTCTATAAAAACACTTTCTTTTTTTAAATTACAAGAAAACACAGAAAAAAAACAATGGATTATAAATGAGTGAACATTCCAAAATTATAATCATGCATGTAACCTACCAGGAACAAGATCAAGGACAAAGCAATCTGTATTTTTCCAAAACCTGTAAAAACAAAAACAAGTCAGAAAATCATGGTGCATGATAGATTCAGGTGTTATCATGTCACTGGTCAGACTTACTAGGTGGTGTGTATAGCGGGTGATTGATATAATATGCAAACCAGGCTGTAAATCCCAAGTAATAATAAGAGTTCTGAAAAAAAAAAAAAGAAAAGAAATTCAGATGCACAGATTTATTAAATATAGGGAATATTAAAAGTAATGGGCAGCAATTAAAAACACATTTTCAACAAATTGCTATCTTTTCTTCAGTTTTCTTTCCCTGTAAATTAGGCATGCATGATGTAAAAGTCTACTAGAAAGGGACGTATGGTTTTTTTTGTTTTTTGTTTTTTAAGTCAATGGCTGTACATCTTATCCAACTACTTAAATACTAAAGGAGAAGTAGATTGAAAACATAGCATACATGATAGAACAACCAATGTAAGTCTTGGTTCTTGTTTACTCTTCTAGAATAGCAAAAATACAGATTTCCAACAATTACAGAACGTGCCTGAATAGCACTCTGCATTCACAAAGGTCTAGCAAGGTCTGCTGAGTGATGGGCACTTAAGATACAGCATAGTGGTTTCTCAGGTAAAAGTGCAGTAGATAATCTCAAATAAATAATATTTTAAAAAGTGAATCAACATTTTGTAGTCTACATATGAGAAGAGGGATGAGGAAGGGAAATTCATTGTAGAGTACCCCCTTTAATCCTTTGGTTTCTAAACTACAGCATATTCACACGTGATCTCTGTGGTACAGTGATAGCCCAAATACTTAAGAGGCAGAAGGAACGACAGTCCTTGAAAACTTAATTATTGCTGTTTATTTAAACATATAAACTCCAAATTGCAATTAATTAAAAACAATTGTAAAATGAAGGTTAAATCGACTGTAAAAGCTCTCCAAGGTATCTAAATAATAGCTTAGCTAATTTAGCCTAAACTATGTGTAACAGATCCTGTCAGGGACCCATGGTTTCAGGGTAGGGCTTCATCTTGCTTGGGTGGTGACCCGCAGTGATCTATAAATCACTGATGTACAATTTTATCCTGGAAGAAGGCTACAACAGAGGTACTCAGTCAGAGTACTGAGTTCCACTACAACTGGTGGCAGTGGTGGGATGTTCCAGTCCCTAGGAGAACCGCCCATTGAAGACCACTGAGTTCAGTGGACCAAGGTGCTCAAGAAGTGGATGGAGCCGACTTACGCGAAGCACCTTAAAAGGAACTGATGGAGGCGAGAGGAAGAATAGCGAGCAACAAGTCAAAAAGAATACCCTAATTGCTGAACTGATGGAGGTTGACAAAGCCAGCAGTACATCCTCCAACTAGTCATTTGAACAACATGAGTTCCACAGCAAGATGAAGATGCGGCTGTACTATTATGGCCCAACCCATCAGCAGAGACAATCCAGTGTACCATGGAAGAAGTGAACACCTTCCTAATGGAAGAGCAGGACAAAGCCCACCAAATCCAGATGGAAGGGGTGAAGCAGCTAGAAGGTGCGACACCAGCCTCCAAAATGTCCCTGCTTTAAAAAAAAAAAAAAAATTTGAATTAGAATGCATTCAAGGCCACGACATCGACCTGGCCGATTGGGTTGCCTATACTTGCTGGAAAGCTCTCAGGGCAGGCTGCCGAGGCTTATCGGACTGTCCCCGATGCAGAGCTAAGGAATAATGATCGGGTCAAGGAAGTACTCATGGCCCAGTACACAAGCACTCCTGAGATATATCGCCAGTGCTTCCGGGATATGCAGAGTGGACCTGCAGAACACACCGAGCAGCCCTTCCTTTTCCTGTCACAGCAGGACGTTATCCCTCTTTCATGCCACATCAGCTTCTTGGGATGGAAACCCCTGTTTTGTGTTGGAGACCACCTGTAGGGGTCTGTGCATGTAAAACCTTGTGTGACGAAATGAACAGAGTTCAATTTCTGTTGTACTCCCAGAGCTGTGTGTCGTCCAGTTACTGGGGGGAAATGGATGCCTGCTTGTTGTAATGATTCCGGAGTAGCTGAAGGAAGGGGATTAGCGGAGATAACCGGTCGGGTTACCAGGTGTCCACTACAAGGAGAAACTGTTCACCACACCACTACTATCCCAGGCAAGACCTGATCCACCCCCATAGAGGAAATGTGGAGAATCCTACATGAGGCTGACCCAATACAAACAGCCACTGACAACTGCCAGCATCATTTGCCAGGCTGTATGGATTAAGGACAGACTCACCCTTGTTAAAGGACCACTATAGGCACCCAGACCACTTCAACTCAATGAAATGGTCTGGGTGCCAGGTCCCTCTAGTTTTAACCCTGCAGCTGAAAACTGCTATGTTTACACTGAGATTTAATCCAGCCTCTAGGAGTGGGGGGACCTAATGACCCTATAGTGCCAGGAAAACGAGTTTGTTTTCCTGGCACTATAGTGCTCCTTTAACCCCTTAAGGACACATGACATGTGTGACATGTCATGATTCCCTTTTATTCCAGAAGTTTGTTCCTTAAGGGGTTAAGCAACACCTTATTCCTGAAGCAAACCAGACCAAACGATCTGTGGCTGTCAGGCAGGGCCGCCATCAGGGGGTGACAACCATAATGGTTGATACACACTTAGGGCCACCCGATGGGCCCTATATCTTTAGGGGCCCGGTCAGCACTGTGGCTGTGGTATAGTGCGACCGGGCCCCTTTATAAAAAAAAAAAAAGCAGCCGCAAGTGCTGCTGGGAGGAAGTGGTCACTTCCTCCCAGCTCACTCCGCACGGGAGGAGCCAGCGCGCCGGTGAAGAGGGAGAGCCAGGCAGCAAAGAGGGAGCCGCGCCGACTCCCATCATCCCCAGCCACCCTCCTGCAAAGAAAAGGTAAGAGACAGGAGGGTGGCTGGAAAATGAGCTGCATGTCTGTATGTCTGTCTGTATATGTATCTCTGTCTATGCATGTCTGTCTATGCATGCCTGTCTATGCATGCCTGTCTGTCTGTCTGCATGCCTATGCATGTCTGCATGCCTATGTCTGTCTGCATGCCTATGTCTGTCTGCATGCCTATGATGATCAGATCACATTTTATGACCAATTTGTGCAGAAATCCATATTATTCCAAAGGGTTCACATGCTTTTTCTTGCAACTGTATGTATGTATGCATGCATGCCTGTCTGTCTATGTATGTATATATGTATGTCTGCATATCATTATGAACGTATGTCTGTGTGTATGTATGTCTGTATATATGCATGTGTGTCAGTCTGAATGTATGTATGTCTGTATGCCATTATGAATGTATGTGTGTATGGATGTCACTGTCTGCATGTATTAATGTATGTGTGTATATGTATGTATGTATGTGTCTTTATGTCCTCATGCATGTGTGTCTTTATGTATGTTAGTATGTGTCTGTCTGTCACTATGTATGCCTGTGTGTATGTCTCAGTATGTGTGTGTCAGTATGTATGCCTGTATGTCTGTTTCAGTATGTGTGTCTGTTAGTATGTATCTGTGTCCTTTTGTATCAGTGTATGTGTTTGTGTGTGTATTCCTGTGGGCGGTATTTGGAGGCAGACCCAGTGGGCGGTATTTGGAGGCGGGCCCCAGACCCTGAACTGAGTTAGGGGCCCCACAATTTCTGGTGGCGGCCCTGCTGTCAGGGCACACTACTGGACACACCTAAGGTGCACCTAAATTGAGGCCCTGGGTCTAGAGATGCTGAAATCAGACTGATGAAAGATTTGCCAGCAGAGGTTTTGCTGGGCAATGACTTGGGCCAGCTTATCTCAGCATTCTGCAGCACACTGGCAAAGGATGCAAACCCAGTCACCACTAGACAACAAGCATGTGCTGCACGATTCAGCTCTACCTGGAGATCCAGGTAGGACACTCTGCCCCTACTCAGACTGTGACCATAGCACCCATCCCTGGAATACCCCAGCTGAGTTTGGAAGAGAGGTAGTAGAGGATTCATCCGTTCAAGTGTTCCGAGACAGGGAAAGGGACAAATAGGGCGAGTTAGAGGGAGAAAGATTCTCTTGGCAAGGTGTGCTGTATCGGGTGTCCAAAAGGAGGACGACAGGGTTGGAACCGATCCAGACTAAACAGTTTATAGTGTGCCCAAAAGAATAGCCGAGAGCTACTGAAGCTAGTGCATGATATTCCCCTCTCAGGACACTTTTTAGTAAGCCGCACCAAACACCAGCTAAACCAAATTTACTTCTGGCCCGGGATCTCCAAAGATATCTGACAGTATTGTCAGACATGCGACACCTGTCAGTGGGTGGGGAAGCAGGAAGACCACCACAAGGCTAAACTGCACCCCCTATCCATTGTGGAGGAGTCGTTTAACCGGGTGGCTGCAGATATTGTAGGGTCCCTAGATAAACCTAGTCTCTTAGGTAAGTAGTACATTCTTATTGTGGTGGTCAATGTGACTTGGTACCCAGAGACAGTTGCATTTACAAATACGCACTGAGACAGTGGCAGGTGCTCTGGTTCAAATCTTTTCCTGAGTGGGATTTCCCCAGGAGATCTTGGATCAGGGCACCCACTTGACTAAAGTCACCAACCAACCCTGGAAGCTCTATGGCATTAAGCCCATCCAGATCTCAACCCTACTACGTTTAAACAAACTTACTTTGCAAGTGCTTTAATGGGACAGAGTGGAAACATACGGACCCCTTTATCCCTAAGTCAGCCCCAATATCATATCCCTGAAGCAGTTAGCATGGAGAGAAGGGAAGAAATTCATGAAATTATCCAGCTAGGAGTTATTGAACCCTCTAACAACCCATGGGCTTCTCCGGTAGTGTTGGTACCAAAGCGGGATGGTGCTACCCGCTTCTGTTTTGACTACTGGAAGCTAAACAGCAAAACTGTGTCAGACACCTATCCCATGCCCCGAATAAATTAACCATTAGATCACATTGCCAGGGGAAGATACCCAACTACAATAGACTTGTGCAATGACAGTCCCCATGTCAGACTTCGTCACCGAGTTTGGCTTCTACAAATTTAGGGTCCTGCCATTCTGGATGAAGAGTGCCCCAGCCACCTTACAAAGGATTGTGGATTGGCTCGTCTATTGCCTCCAGGATTATGCCTTGCATACATGGACAACATTGCATTCTTTAGCTCCACGTGGGAAGAGAACCTAGGCCATATTAGTGCTGTACTAGATTTGATTAGAAAAGTTGGCTTAACTCTGAAACCAGCAAAGTGTCACATAGGGATGACAGAAGTACAGTACCTATGGCACTAGGTCAGGCCCAGGATTTTACCATACATTACTGCCTCGGTAAACAACACGGCAATGCCAACACGTTATCCCACCAGACTGAACTCGAGAAGTGACCGTGAGCACCCCGGACATCCCCAAGCTGACCTATGGGGATCAGGCGGTGTCTGTTGGACTATTTGCTAAGGGAGAGCAGTAGGACAGATTAGTGATCATGTCTTTTATTTTATCAGTTTGGGAGTCTATTTGTATTATAGCTGTTTGGGATCAATCATCCTTGAGGCACACCAATTGAGTGAATACATATTTGGATCCTTATTGGATAATTCAATAAACAGTGAATTTCTAAGTCAAATATTGGTCTTTGTGTTATAATTGGACACAGTGATTTTCTTTTTTCTGTGGGTCTGTGTTTGGCCAATCTCCTGCCCTGCTAAAGAGCACAAATAAAAGGTACATGGAACACCCAATATCAAGTAAACAGGTTTACATTTGTAGATTAAGACAATGGGCATCTCTGTATATTTTTAGCCAGTCGTGACATTCCTCGTAAGAGCACACGATCAGAAGTTATTAAAAAGGCAAAATCTGCTATGTAGACCGCTTCCTTCATTATCCAATTACATTAAGGCATGCCTTCTCCAAGGCTGAATAACCTGTTAATAAATAAATATGTACATTTTCAATTAGATAATGGTAGAAAAAGTTACCTTTATCATGTTCCTTAATGGCATAGTCCCATGGGTAAACCGATGCACAAATAAAACTTCAATTGCTTTTTTGATATAGTGGAAAGTATGACAACAGCAAGCTAAGCTGTAGGGAAAAAAAAAAATTATTAAAATTTGAATATGTGATGGAAAAAAGCTCTTCTCCAATTGGATTCATCACAGGTGTTTAGTACAGACTTACTGTATTACTGAATGTGG